CCCCAAAACCCCAAAACCCCAAAACCCCAAAACCCCTTGCAGATCGATAAATACAGGAATTAAAATAAAATATTATAATGGTTAAGAAACTAATCTTCATCTGTATCTTACTCCTCTTAAGCCTGGTCGTAGCTCACAAGCCAGGCTTAGTTGCTGTTGTAAAGAAAGGGATTGTTGACAAAGTCAGGGACAAATACTTCACATCTCTCTTTGACCAATTAGGTCACCAGAGTATTCCTGACATTAAGAGCGGGGATCTGAAGCTGACCAAGATCACTGCTGAGTTGAGTAATGACTCTCCTAATAACTTGCAAGCCTCATTCAAAGAGGATATTAATGCAATCAATATTGATCTAAAAAATACTCATATTGATGTTAAAGTTAACTGGAGATATCATAAATCAATTCTCACCTTAAAAGGAAGCGCTAGAATTAGAGGAACTTTAAGTGATCTTGGCATGAACATTGTTATGCAAGACACAAAGGATGGAGACTTCACAATTCCACATATAAATGCTAAAGATATGAGAGTGTCAATCAGTAAGAACAAAATTAAGTTAGATTTCCATTGCAAGGGTTGTCCTAAACCTGTCGAATCATTGATTTCTAAAGCTCTTAAAGGAAAACTTGTTGATGAAGTTCAGAGTCAAATCAAGAAACAAGTCCCAAAACAAGCGAACAGTATCGGAAATTCTGTTATCAAGAAGACCTACCCTAAGACTCTCAACCTCTATGATAACATCTCTCTTGCTACTGCATTGACTTCTTCAATTGTAGTGAAATCTGATCACCTAGAAGTACCTATTGATGCAACCTTCTTTCCTAAAAGCCAGGGTTACAATCATTCTTCAGAGCCAATAGACATCCCTCACTACAATAAGGATGATCCTGGAGAGATTATGCTGTTTTTCAGCCCATATTTGGCCCAGACTCTGGCCAAGACTATCGACACTGAGAAGTTAGTCTATGATTTCCCTCTTTTTGAAATTCAACATCAGTTATCAATAGACCCTGAAGCTGGGCCAACTGTAATCTCCTTTGAAGATGGAGATCTCATTGCTAAAGGTAATGCCAAAATCATGGCTCCTGTCTATGGAGTAGGTGTTTCCATTGGGGTAACATTGAAGCTTGATATGAACATCTTGAATGGCGAAGGCGATAATATGTTGTCTGTGATTCCAAAAGTAAAGGGACTAGAGTTAGAGAAATTTGATTTCATAACTCCAAAAGGAAGGTAAGTACTAATCCTTGACTATTCCTTGTCCTCCAGAACTCTTCTCATCTTTCTACAGCCCTTCAGACTCAGGTATCCCAGCTTCTTTCAGTAAGCTCTTTCTCTAATCATTTTCTAGTAAAATCCCTCCTTACCAGTCATGTCGGCTTGGTTGGACTATCCAATAACAGTAATTTTGAAACACCCAGAATAGATTCAAAGGAATTACTTGCTTATCTAAACAAACTGATTCCAATGTTCCTAGATCAGCTAGTCTTGCCTACAGTAGAGATCCCTCAGCAGGATATCTTGCCGTTACAGGTGACCAATAGTGAGCTTGACTTCCATAAAGGATATTCTGAGCTTGGCCTATTGTTTAAGTTTACTGGATATTAGTACTTTTCAAGCATTAATGATATATAGGGGTTTTGGGGTTTTGGGGTTTTGGGGTTTTGGGG